TTTTCAATATGGCACAGGATACTGCTACTCAAGAAAAAAGTAAAGAAGATACTGCTGGACCTTCACAAGTCTTTGGCCATGGTCTAAAGAGCTAGCTAAGGTGTACTGAATGGTTTTGAAATAATCTGTAGGATTTCATCCATTCCCTGAACAACAGATGCCTCCCATACTTAAACATGCACTTTCCATATCAAAACATCTCTTCCAAAAGTTCCCTTAGCATGTGGCACGGGCAATTCCTGCTTGCAAAACATAAGTTCCTATGGGTAGTAGGAACTAGATGATTTTTTTCCAGATTTGTAGCTATTGGATGCACTTAAAATAGCTGTTTGGATCCTGGACTATATGATTTGACATTATAATTCATGATAGATGATGTTTTGATAATAAAATCCAAACATAATTAACAAATTAACTTTGTCAGGAAAATAGTCTAGCAAATATGTTTTACTTGTGTGTTAGCGGCATGTTGAAAGGCATAAGAACTTTGATGAATCAATTCTGCTGTTCCTTTTGAACAGGTCATTTTTCCTACTGAAATGTTTTAGAGAATAATCAGAAGTCATAAAAATAATAAAGAATAATCAGAAGTTGTTTCTGTTTCAGTGCTGGATTTTTAATGTTATGTATATGTATTAAATTATACACTGTCCTGAGAGTCCTTTGGGTTATAGGAGTATAGAGATGCAATAAATAAATAAATGTAGTTCATTCAGTTAACGCACATCTATCAAATCATTTTCTCAGAAGTTGTATTTTTAATAAGTACATTGGTCAACAAACACACATGCACATAAAGGTGTTCCTTGGAAAATACACCAGATATTTACAAAGTAACGCATCAAACAGTACTGCTGGACAATCTGCTTACTGGCATTTCTCCAGGACCCTTATGTAAGTTCAAATTCAGTAAAGGAAGATTCTGCAGAAAGCATTTCATATTCATTATTAACAAAGTATAACACACTGAACTCATGGAGTTTAAATAGGTTTACCTTTGTGTTATATTATAGCCTGTTAAGATCAGGATACTAAGATTGGAATGTAGGATTTCAAATAGTTTCCTCTTCGTGGTTTTATTATTTTAATCTGAAGCTCTTCTAAATGTGGGCAGTACAAATAAATTGTACTGATACCAATGGAAATTGCTAAGAAAGTGTGTTAAATGGTAAGTTAGAAAAGTTTGGCCAAAAAAAAGCTATTGGTGAAATATTTATAGGGTATAATTTACACAGGTATTTTAAAAACAAGCTAAATTTCCTTTTCATCATCCATTAAGTTATTTTAATTAATATTCTTAATATGAATTTAAAAATGAATGTCTTCATGTATGTAAAATGCAGTGTCCTTTTGTATTACTTTCAGTAACTTCATCATCGCTAATTTCATTCTCAGTAGCATATGAATGCTAGGAATAGTGTATGTGACTATTCAATTACATAGGTTCTTGTAGATTTTTAACAAAAATTATCCCCAAAAAGTAAAATGCAGACTCTTAATTATGCTATCTTTATTAATTCAAGATGCAAAACAGTATTTCTTAACTAAGGTTGAAACTATTTTGATAGTCCTTTGAAATTGCTACACTCTTCTTGTTCCAAGTGTTTTACAGTTATGACTTTAAGAAGATTTAAGAATGGTTTATTAGTTAATGGAGCAATTGAAAATATCTGGCATTCAACTCCCCTCTCATTAGATGGATGCCTTGAAATCAATAGGTCTTGCATTATTATTGGGTGTTCAGAAGGGTGGGATAACCACTATAAATACTTTGAGATAGTTCCTCTGTATAGAAGAGCAAAAACAATTAACTATCTTCTATAGTTACATTAACAGTGAAATAAAGATGGTAACACATAAAAAGCTCCAGAAGATAATTAGGTGAGGAGTCATGTTACCCAAAAGAATAAATATTTAGGAATGTGATTACTAAATAGAGGAAAAAAAACCTTCTATCTGAACATCATTATCATCCAGAAATCACATTGATTGGTGAATTAATTTATTAGATTTAGATTTGTTTGCAGCATATGTTCAGATTGCAGTAAAGCAAATACTTAGTACTATGCTGGAATGCTGAGGTTTTTATATGAAAGAAGTGTGATGACAGGCAATACAGATCATTTAAAAAGAAAGAACTTGTTTCAGGACTGTTGTTGTTCTCATGCTAAGTTACCATATAAAAGTGGGTATATTTTGACAGTGAGTGATATTAACTAGAGAAAACCACTGCAGACACATGGAGGAACTGTCAGCAGTTGTCTACTAATTCTGACGACTGTATTTCCCACTATGTTATCATGCACAGATTGTGTTGGAAACACATGGAAACAGATGACATTTTCCATGTGATTCTTCAGCAGTCAGTCATACACAGTGAAGTTCTCTTAACCTGTTGAAAGCCAGTGCAAAACAAGTGCAAAATTTATTTTTTTTCATCTCTCTGCAAAAGCCTGTTCTACTGTCAAAAACAGACACTCCTTTTGTATTGCCAGTATTCTAATGCAAGTAGGCCTGCGGATTTCTACATCAGTGATGCCAGATGAAGAATTTTTCTTACAATTGTTCATTGTAAGCACCATTGTAAAGACTCAATTATACTTTTCAGAAAACTCTGTACTGTCTTCCCTGATATATTCAGGTTTTAACAAACTCAGTAGTCTAGTTGATGCCTTCCATGGCTTTGAACATGAGATGTTTTAAAATGTATTTGTACACTACATGCATATGTGTCAATACATATGTATAAGTATGTAAATACCAACGGAACTGAATTAGTAATTAACATTTCTCTGAAAAAGTGATTCCTCTGCCATTCTTTAATCATGTCAAATAGTAATTTGAACCAGAAAACAAAACATATATAATGTATTTTAACAAAATCCTGCCAATTTTCTAATACTAGGTTTGGTACGTGCTAAAACATGATACTGATGACCTGAAATTTGGGTTTCTTATCTTTTGTTACACAGGTATTAAGTCTACTCTTCAGAACTGTAGATTAGCCTTTTCTGAAATACTGTTTCACATAATAAAGATTGAAAATGTGGACTATACGGATACAAAAGAATGAGTAATAACCCAATCTTGTACAGATTACTGGGATGTCAGTCATACTAAATTGCTTCTTCTAAGTAATGTTCATGGGATATGGGTGTACAACTGTATTCCTAAAAACAATAGGAGTCATGTTCCCATGGATGTGTTTAGAATTATGCTTTTCTTTAGGTAAATTACATTGAAGATTAGAAACTCATTGTACTTCAGCTTTAAATACCTGAATTTCTGATCTTCATAAAGGAAGTGCTAAAGGACATTAATTTTTAAAAGAAATCTAGTACATCTCTGGTATTGTTATATGGCATTTTTCTTAACATTTTGCAGTTGACATATTTACTATATTTAGTCTTCTACCAATTAAAAATTATTTCCCCTAAAAATAAAGATTAATGATTTGTTGACAAATAGCATATAATAAAAATAGCTTAATTAATCACAGTTTATATCAATTTACTGTGTTTCAGGTAGACAGAACTTTTATTTTTGTTAAACTGTCCTTAGAAATATCTATATTTCCTGATAGATGACATTAAATTTAGACAATCTAGAAAGCAAGTAAATTTTATGGTATTTAAAAATTATATATATGACAGGAAACAACGTAATGGTTTCATTTGTAATTGTTTAATAATATCTGGAACATCCTATTGCTTTGTGTTCTCAAGGAACTTCATCTACCTTCTTATTTCATGTCTGTGTTTGTCTTTAGGAGTTTTCTTATAGGATCAATATCTTTCATCAATAACTGTATGCTTGAAATTTTGGCAACATGTTATTTTGTTTTTTACAGAATCATTATTTTGTTCCAAAATATCTGCAATATTGCTGAAATATACATCTCAATTTTATCTCCAAAACTACTGAACATATAAAAGTACAATGAACTTTGAAGGACATAGGATTTAATTGTAAATGTGTTTAACACTTCAATGCCAAGGAACTCATACTTATTGAAGTTACTCTGAAGTAGCAGTTTTAAGTGTTTTCATGTCATTTCCCACAATTTTACATTTAAATTAGTTTACAGTTATATTGCTTTGCCCTTTACTTGATCAGAAATCGGAATGCATGAGTATTTCTAAGTAAACACATTCTCTGACTAAATATCTATATGTAGGGTGCAAACACTAGAATTTTTAGTAAATATTTCAATAGTATGCATACCAGTGTCCAGTCTCTGCCTGAAGATTATATTGAGAATGTTACAGTGTATACCTGACACACCCACGTGCGTTACACATGTTGCATTACACAGTATTACTTGAGCGATAAGCACTTATAAGTGATTAATGTATGCATTTTTAAGAGTAAGAATAGTTTTCTGCAATTATCCACTTTTAAATAGAAAACGGTTCACATCGGTATAACTTGTGTTATAAGGCAATTCTGAACATGTATATTCAGAAATCCCACTCAATTCATCGAAGCTTACTTCCAAGTGAGTAGGCGTAGGCTTAATCTACACAGATAACGAGAACAGAATCATAAGGACAAACTTTTCAAAGGGGTAGAACATCTCTCCAATTGAGCAACGGCGCAAAGGTACATTAGGCAGTCCGGACAGAAATTAGCCAGGCTCCTTGACCGAGAATGGCACTTCTTGGAAGGAGGGCGGAAGGGAAACCCAAGCGTCGGAGATACCCGCGCTAATCCAGACTCCAAAGACGTTTCCCCTCCGGCCTGTAGGAGAGTCGGGGGTGGTGATGTCACGGTCCATCCCTCGGCCCCTGCCGCTCCCTGCCCGCCATGCGGGGGCCCCGGCTCGGAGCGCCCGAGCCATCCCGGCCCGGGCCAGGGCTGCGCCCCGCCGAAGCGCCGGGACGCGCGGCCAGCTTCCTGGCAGCAGCCCGGCCCCCGCCCGGCTTTCCTCGCCCTCCGCTCCCCCCCGAGGGGCATCCATCCCGCTCCCCGCAGAGAAAGGCCAGGAGAGGCGCGTTTACCTGAGCTGTCGCTTTTCCGCTTGCCCGCGCGCTTCTCGGTGTCCACCGGGGACAGCGCCTGCCTGCCATAATCTCCCGGCGCGCACGTCGCCCCCGTCGGAGGGCTGGTCCCCAGGCTCGAGGAGTTCGAGCACAGTCCCGGCGGGCTGTTGCCCAGCTCCGCGGGCCCTCCCGAGTCGGGCTGGAGGCACAGGCTGTGCCTGGCCGAGGCGGAGGCGGGCGGCGGCGGCGGCGGCGGCGGCGGGGAAGCCATCTGCGGGATGTGCCAGTTCGTCTGCAGGGACTGGTGCTGCTGCTGCGGCTGGTGGTGGTGGTGGTGGTGATGGTGGTGGTGCCCCCTGTGGTGCTGGCTGCCGAACATGCCCTCCTCGTTGGGGTATCCCGCTATGATGCAAGAGGAGGACGACGCGGAGAGCTCCGGGTAGGACATGTGGTCGGAGCGCCCGTGCAGGGCCAGGGCGGACTGCGAGAACGGGTGCAAGCCCTGCCCGGGCGCGTGGTGCGGGCTGCGCAGGCAGCCGAAGAGCGTGTGATCCATGGCATGCAACGCGGCCCCGCGCGCCCGCCCCGCCGCCGGAACAGGAGCCCCTCCTCGGGGCGAGAGGCGCCTGGCTCCCGCGCTCTGCTCCCGGCCAGCCCCAAAGCAAGCGGCGGCGGCGGCGGCGGCGGCGGCTCGCTCCGCTGTAATCCAAGTATCCTGCGCGCAACTCGTCCCGGCCGTGGCCGCGCTCGGATGGTCAAGCAGGCAGGCGCCGAGCTCGCCGCCGGCAGAAAGGAGGTGGTCCCGCACTGGCGCTCCGAGAGGGAAGCGGCTCGCCGAGGTTATAAATACAGGCGCGTGTAACGTGAGCCGGGGGCTGGCTTAGCTGCGCGGCACTGACCAAGGCGAGCTGCCTCCCAGCGCCTGCCAGCCAGTCAGCCCCGCAGCCACCCCGCCGGCGACCCGCAGCTCCCCTCGTCCTGACCTCGCCCCAGCCTCGCCCTGGCCGCGGGGCTCCGCATGGGAGCCCAGGGCGCACCCAGGTTCAGGCGAGCGCTTGCCAACCCGCACTGTGGGGGGCAGCCTGCCTCCTTGGCCTTCCCCCCAGGGACCCAGCCTTGCCCACCTTGCTGGTCTGCTGAAGGACTCCTGGTTCCTACGATCCCCTCTTCCTCCTGCATGGGAAGGAAGCAGGTGAGCAAGTGAGAGGAGGTGGCAACACACCTGGCACCTCTCAGATGCTCTCACCTGGCCTCTCCCTCTCTATGGTGCCAAATGGAGGTCTGGACCCAGCAGGGCAATGCAGAACCAGCAAGCAGATGTGAGAGATGAAAAAATGGTGGCTCCTGGATAGATGCCCCATCTTTTCTTGTTTAGTGCTGATTTTCCCCTGGCCAGCCACATGATGGAGATGGGGCAGGGTAGCTTTTGTAGGAGCCACTGGTGCCTTGCCCATGTATTCTCCTTCTGTCTCTGGGCATCATGGAAGGAAGACTGGGCCTGCTGACAGATGAACAACAGCCATCTCCTCTTGACTCACCTGGATGGAGATCTTCCAGGGCCAGGCAGAGTCCAAACGATTAAGCGAGGAGCAGTGCTCACTTTCCAGCTGGAGTGTGTGTTCTCATTTGCTCACCTGCACTCTTCCTTTGATTAATGCAAGGTTGGGAATGGTCCCCAGTTCCGTGCAAGAAATGAGCTGGGATCCCTATTTGGATGGGTACCTGGTATGATAGGTCATGCCCACTTATTGCAATACAAATATTCACAAAGGGAAGGCTTAGGCAATTGCACCTTCCCACCCAAGGTATTCCTAGTTAAAAACAACTACTGTCACAGTAATCAAACAAGAAAATCTATACATACTTTAAGTATATATACCACTGAACTCGATTTGCTCACAGGGGATGTTGGGTTTGTAAACCACAACACCTTTCCACCACCAGCAGTACCACCACCGCCGCCGCCAAATACCCACACATATTATGTATTGGAACTCAAGCGGACTTTCAAAACAAAGTTCTTGCACTTGCTTTTAAGGCTGAAATTAGAAGGTTTTTAAAAGAAAAATCCAATTGATTGCATGGAAACCCTTACGTTTGCTTAAAGTATATTTCTGGATCTTTCATTTTGTAGCATTTCCAATGTATGAATTTCCAAATATATGACATGGCCCTTTGACATTTCCATGTTCCAAGCAGGGAAGAAACTTCCTTGTCTGTGTCAGTCCATTGAACTCAGGAGCTCAGCATTATTCATCTGTATATCTTTCCAGAGTCCTTGGGGTAGGGGGAATCTATATTAATTTAGCTATCATGATTTCCTTCATTGACAAGTAAAATTATCCCCACCTCATTCTCTCAACAGATTTTTTAAAATAGCTAATTATATGGACATAATATATTAGCTAAAGATGCAGTCCTAAATAGACTTATTAGGCAGTGAAACTCACTAAATGCGATGGGACACACTGCTCAGTAAATCAGCATAGAATTGTGCAGCAAGACTATGTGATCTGCAAGCTGTGGAGTTCATGAGTCAAATCTCCACCTTGGATTTCCAAGATTAATTTAGGAGACCCACTGGCCTAAGATCTCTCTCCCACCACCCCGTTTGCAATCTTGGAATAATACCATGACCTGGGTTTATTACTGGGTTATAAGGATCAGTGAAATAATGTGTGATATGCTATAATAATGTTAGGTATTTTTCCTGATTAAATATTAGACTTCTCATTCCCTGTCACTTGGATACAGCCACTCAGTGTTCAGTGTTGGAACTACGTATCACTCCTTTCTCAGTCTTTTCTCATACTCGCCTGACTATGTGAATGTCAAAAAAAGGGGTACAGTTTAACTAATATTGAGAAAAAGTGTCTCATCTTTTTTGCTGTATATTTATCTCAAAAGTTGATAACTTGGTCTAATTGTATGATATATGAAAATAGATTGTAGAAATTGCTATACCTTTCAAACTTGAGTGTCTCTCAAGAAATGTTTCAGCAGCGATCAGCTCATGTGCTCTAGACTCAAATCCAGATGGCTTAAAGTTGACATTTCCTGGATAAACCAATGTAACTTTATTTATAAAAAAGTTTCTGATCCCTTCTCCTCTTTCACTATCTCATAAGGGATACTTTCTACACAGCTGAAACTTCTCTGTTTGACCCACTGTGGGGCCTGGCCTGAGGCCTGTTTCACCGAAGCAAATATATTTCAATACAGTGAAAAGTTGGTGAACACTAACTTTACTGAGCAATTAGTAATATGGACAATTCATTTTACAGCATTTTACCCACACCTGCCAATTACTTGCTAGACAGATAGATTCCACAAAGGAATTCACAGCCTCAAATTTACAAGAGCTGAGTACCGCTGTGAAGGAGAGGGCATTTTGGGGGTCATTCATTCATAAAGATTGCCCTATGTCAAAGACAACTTGATGGCATTTTCGAAAAAATCTTGAGAAAGCTATTATAGGCATTGGATTTGTGGTTAAAGAATACACGTGGTACTAAATGATTTGGGATTCATCCACAGATATAAAGTCCACCTTTCCCTACGAATTCAAATTAGCCTGCCAGAAATAGTGGCCACCCTGCAGCATCCAAAATCATAATCCATGGTACATTTTTTTGCCACCCCCTATCTATTCAAGTCTGAAACGAGTTATGTTGGTGATCATAGAAATGAAGAGTTTACTTTCCCTTGAAAACCTTCAAGGGCAGAGGGAGAAACATTTGTTCGGTGCAACTCACCCTTCTGCACCCCAAGTGCTTATTCTACTTTAGCTTGATCTAAAGGGGCTGGAAAGGGGCAGAAGCGAATGAATGAATGAATGAATGAATGAATGAATGAATGAATGAATGAATGAATGAAACACGGAGTAAGCAAGTCGTAGAAAGCAATCCACGCATCATTTTCATGTGTGTTGGAAAAAAAGATGCCTGCGATTTGCCAGAGGTTATTTTCAAGTCTACCGGAAAGCAACGAGAAATGGGAAACACTTTGAGGGGTTCGTCTTTGGGGAGGAAAGCCGAGGCCGCTGCAGCTGCCTTGAACGCCAGGCGAGATCCCCCACCTGCAGAGCCGGGCAGGCGCGCAGCAGAGGCGTCTTCCGGGCCTTTCCCCAGCCCGGCAGGGTTCGCGCGTTCCTGGCCGCGCAAGGAGGACGCGAATCCCGCTTTCTGTCCTCGCTCGCCTCGGGGGCAACCGGGCGGCTGGGAGCCCAGAGCCTTGGCGAAGAAGCAAGATCCGGCTGCAAAGCGCTCGCCCCGGAGTCGCTTGACCGCATCGACGTGCGGAGCATCTGCGCGCCCGGGGAGCTCAGAGGCTGCCCGGAACGACCTCGTAATGATCCCCTCCGCTTTCCCCGCCGCCACCGCGCGCGCGCTCCCGCACCCCCCCCCCCGCTCCCCCGACGGGACCGATGTAACACGCGATCGCTCGGAGCGCTTCGGGGGCCCGCCCATCATGGGTCAGGAAAACAGTCCATTCCCAAGGCGCACCAAGAAGCCACGGATTCCCGTCCCCGGCGAGCGAGGCATCCCGCCCTCGAGCCTTCCGCACACGCGCGCACATCCTTTCGGGAAGTGCGCTTTGCGCGCACATTCATTTGGGAAGCGTGCTTTGCGCCCTTGGCGACGCTGCTTGCATTGGCTCAGGTGTCTGGGGATGCTCCAAGGCGCTTCGGGAAAACAAACAAACGCTGGCAAGGGCAGAGGGGCTTTGCATTAGGACCAAGTCCTGCTGATAAAGAAATGAGCATTAGGGACGGAATGGGGGCTCGCCGCCTCCCCTCCCTCGAACGGCTTTTGTTTTGAAAATAATTAGGTAAGAGCATCCCAGATCTTTCGTTTCTCCAAGGAGATGCCAAATCCTCTGTGTGAATGCAACTAGGCACGTACGCACACGCATTTTCATCTGCCACTGGGAAAAAGAAGGGGGGGAGGCTGTATGAGATTTGCAAGAGGTAGTTGCTCGAACGGAAATTGGGCCCTATTTTGTGGGGAAATTAGTTTTGCAGACTTTCTTTAAAAAAATCTAAAAGTTTTGTTCAGCAGCTGCTTCAGTTTGCCTCACAGTTTTAGAGTGAACTGGAACCTGCAGTGGTCTATGGCTGGTAAGAGTCTTTCCCACTTTTTGAAAACTGTTTCTTCTGATAATGTTTAATTATCCGAAACGATTTTGTAGGTTCATATTTCCTGGAAAGGCTAGTGATGGCCATAGTTGCTGGGCACTCCAGAATTACGCTCTTCCCCTCCCTTCAGAAAGAAAAATCTATACTTACAATCTTGATGAAATATATTGTACGTTGTGTTTATCGTTTCAGTATGTGCGCATATATATATAAATGGAAAGGAATGGAAAGAAAGTGCAATGCTGAACCTCTCCTCCCACCCTTTAGCTACTTAAAGCTGCTGTTTTGGAGGAACAAACCTATGTCCACCTCATGAAACATTTACTGATGGTTTGTCAGTATCTAGGTAAGATTTACAGGTGGGTCTATAGGTATAACATCACACTTTATATAGAAATTAGATAGACAGCGTCAAGTTA